TTTTTTTTTTCTCCTTTTGTCATAAATGTTGCCTATGTGAAAGTAAAACTTTTCACATAGGCAACATTTCATGCAAGGCATACGTAAAAATTTCTCTTATTCCGTATCAATAGCAGAAAATAGCAAAATGGCATTATGTTAATATGAAGAGGCAGTCACAAGTAAAACTGTTTTGATGGAAAATTAGATTTAGGTGTTCAATTTGTATAAACAACAATGCCTCTGTGCTGGAAATTTCACTCTAAGGAACAATCGCAGTACTATCACACAGGAGCATATGTCCAATTTCATCAAACTACACAGCAGTGGCCTTTGTGTCTAATTGAGTGAGACGACAAAAGTCCTTACTCATTCAAACCAGAATTCAATTATTGTGACGGGCCGTTTTGTCTGTCCGGCGCACGCAGAGAGGAGGGGGAGACCACTGCTTAACATACTGGCCAAGTCGCAAGCAGTTATGGCTGTGTTGTAGAATAATTCATGGTGAAGTACCAGACAAAAACATAATCTAATAGGGACTTCTGAGTATGATTAATGTGGAGAGTCGTAGATGCAACAGATTATATATGGCTCATGAGTTGAAACCACAATGAGGGAAGCACCATTTGCTTTACAAGTCTTTTAGCTGCTTAGTTAAAGAGATACGGGGAAAACCAAAGAGAGGGAAGCACATGGGACCAAATTCTTTAAAAGCTGTTTAATGTCAAAATATAGTAATGCTGCATATGAGCATTAAAATCAGTAAGCGCTTATTAAGAAGGTGGTTCAGGAAAAATGAAAAATGTTTCATTTACTCCTGCACTTAGCAACAAGACCTCTTTTCTTAATAGCTTTACAGCAATTTAAGTTGTGCAACTATCTTCTTCTAATCCAGGACTGTGCATTTCTATTGCGGTCTTTATTTAGTCCAGTTGCTTTCTAATGCATTCTAACCTGTTCTCGCCTCTTTTCTCTTCACAAGCTCTCTCCTTCGTCTCTTTTCCTGACATTGACATCTCTTGAAGTGACTGTAACCAATTCTCAATTTAGTGACAATGACGTGGTCTTTCCTGTTGATTCTGATATTATCCCCCCCACCCTCTCCTTTTGTTGCACCTTGCCATTACTGTTCCCATTTCCTCTGAACACTCTGCTCTCTGATTTTCATCAAATTTGACAATATCTCCATGAACACGTATTCTCTCCTGACAGCCTCTTTTTTCCAGTGTGTCTGCTTTCTGAGTATGTCAGTACTCACATGAACTTCAAATTTTTCCCCTTCACAGGCTAACCTTAAATCAGTAAACAGTATTTCATATAGTTGTTGGTGATTTTGGGCTTATTCGGCTTTAATCTTTGACAGCAACACTGAGTCACTGCAGATGACTATACTTTCTACCACTTCCTCTGCCCACTCTCAGTGCTAGAGGATGTGCAAAAAGCTAGACAGCATCCAGTCTAACTGTTGTTTTCTTACTGACCCCAGTCTCCTGAATCACCACTGCTTCCTGCTAATGGATGATTTGACTTGTCTGTTAAAAACTGGCAGGTCAAAGGAATTCCACAAGAAAACCATAAATGTTCTGAGGCGCTCTGACAGCAAGCATTTTGGGTCCTCTTCGAAGCGTGATCATCTTTATCCTATGACGAAACAGGACACAGGTAATCCGAGGGCACCAGGGCTCACTGGATGGCTTGAGGTTTATGAAAATGATGTGAATTATGCAATTTGACCTTCATGGTCTCTAAATCTCAACCCAGCTGAATGCATAAGGGAGATTTTGCACCAAAATACTAGAGAATGATTCAACACTGTAATCTCAATTTCAAATGAATTCCTTTGCCAAGAATGATGTCATCACTTCTATACAGTTTTATTATGACTTATTAGTCATGTGACTTTTGGATACTAATTTTTAAATAGGAAAAAAGCAATTTTTACAAGATCATGAGTCAGTGACAAGCATGACTGAGGTATTCAGTGCTGTCATTTTCTGCTCTCACACACACTCACACACACACACACACACACTCTCACACACACACACACACACACACACACACTCTCACACACACACACACACACACACACACGGTTCATAACCCTGGGTTTAGTATATTCAGTATTAAACTGAAATGCCTGAATCCAAACATTAAACCTGGACCAACACGTCTTGGGAATCAAGTCAGCTTTCTTCACGGACGTCAAAGTGATTTTATGATTATTTCCGACGCTACACTGCACTTGTGTGCGCTCTTCTCTCTTTTTAAATTGTTTTTTTTTACCTTGAAGGATATCTCGTACTGCTCCCCTCCCCAAATCTCTAGACCGGTGTCGTATCCGCCGAGCTCCCAGAACCACTTCCTGTCGACAGCAAACAGTCCACCTGCCATCACTGGAGACCTAAAAGACACAAAGGCACAGTTGAGCATATATTGGAATACAACAGGAAGTATTAAAATGACTTCAAATCTTCCAGGCTAGCCACACATATAAAGTGCCAGGTTTGAACATCCCGTGACTTGCTAAATGCACACAGGATTAAATAAACAGAAAAGTGTGTTAGAGAATTCCGGCTCTATCCCACTCCAGAGCTGTGTTCTTCACATCCCCACATGTGCGTGGCAACCCAGTGACACTCTTCACAGCACAAAACCAATTAACCCATCTGAACCAGTGAGAATACTGACTGGGATGACAAGCTCAGCAGTGCCAAACAACATAATAGTCCTCAGCTCAGAGTGCAGTGGGAGCTTCTCCCTGCAGCAAAACTGAACGTAAAATATCGAACAGCTTCTCATCAGGACACCGACAACAACTGGAGGAAAACGGGAGGAGCAGGCGGGCAGAGAAAGAAAGGTTTTATCCACGGGGAATATTCTGTATTGAACTATGAAATAATGCAAGACAGATGAGAACATAACCTCACAGAGAGCATTATAAATCCAAGAAAAGCCTCGTTTCCTTCTATTTCCTGAAACATTACAAGGCATTTGTGCCCAGAGTTATTATCTAGTGATACACTAGTGCTCAGAATTTCAGAGCTTTATTTTTATTTTAATCTAAATTGTAGCAGTATGGGAATTAATAGCAAAGGGTATAGAAGGAAAATTAATTTGAGGACTACAGAATTAATTTTCCAATCAGTCTCATGTTGAAACACCACGTTTGTCTTTGTTGCAACCAAGGTGGATACTATTGTTAGTGAATTATGAGTCTAGAGCGGTTAGCATGGACGATATGATGGGCTTGGACCATAATCTCAGGTCCCATCAGTGTTCAGAGAGATCGCTTGCCAACTTTGGCTTTTTTCCCCTTAAATTAATCATTAAATCAAAGAAATTTCACATGGAAGTTAATCTGCCTTTTACCAGCAGCACTTTTCCATTTTTTTACCGTTAGTCCAAAGTATGTATTATGGTGGTAACGGTGGATAGAAACCGTAATGCGTAACTGCTCCTTAACAACCAGCTTTGTGATCGTAGTGATAAAAACTAAAATGGAAACGAGACTGAGCCTAAATCACACATTAAGCGTCGTAAAGGCCATAAAAACACGAGCTGAGGTCCCTGCTCTTGTTTTCCCCTGCCTACGTTTGTTCTGATAAAGCGTGGCTTTCTGCAACAGTTTGAATAATTCTTTCACACAGGCATACTTGACCTGTCTGACCAGATAACTGTGCTTGTGCAGTTCATTGTCCATAACTGGTGACTGCTGTATGCTGGAGGAAACAAAGTGAAGCAAACAAAGCTGCCACACAAACACACACACACACACACACACACAGACACACACACACACACACACACAATCTGCTTCCCTGGAATAGCGCAGAATGAAATGCACCAGACAGACTTTCATCACAGGACAAAGGGTGAACAACAGTAGCTGCAGGGGCACAGAGAAACAGTGCTGCATGTCTGTGTGTGAGTGCTGATGGTGGGTATGGTCAGCAGACTGTGTGAGTTTAGCAAAGAGAGCGTAGACACTGCGTGGGCACTGATTTATGGGGTGGTGATTGTTAGCTCTTGTTCACCGGAGGGAGAAAACACAAACACTCTTCCCAGAGTTGTGTGGAAGGAAACCCAGCGGCTTTTGGGAATGACAGCACTGACATCTCGCAAGCTAGTCAATATGAAGATCGCTTAACCACAAGTTAAAGTTTAATCTGGCAGGGTAACAACCACATGCATGTTCAACTATACTGATAACAAGCATAAAACATAATAAAACAATTGTTGATTTTGCCTGGGAGCCAGTTGCACTCCACTGTACGCCAGGCCAGGCGACATCATCTCAGGTGCATATCTTTAAAATGCTTCAGGTGATGGTAACAAACCATGTCCCATTCAAGATCGTCTCATCTATTCCATTCGTCTCAATTAGCTTGACTAGGTCAATGGATCAGCAGCTTTTGATTGTTTCAATTGCAGCCTCCTCCTCAAGAACTGGTCATTGACTTCACAGTCAATTATAATTTGTAGTGTATGGTAGGACTGGACGATATATAGAGTTTTTTTTAAAAATATCGATATATGAATTTTGGGTCATATTGCCCATCCCTAGTGTATGGTATTAATGACTGCACCTGTACACCCTCTGATGTTTGGAATTGAGTTTTAATGGCTTGATTTGTTTAGATTTTGTCCAATGTCATGGTGGACTGACTTGACAGTACATTGTCTTTGTCTATGAGATCAAAAAGCTGTTTTTGGACTGTAGGATATTATTATACATTGCTAAATCCTTGATTCATATAAAATTAAATTGAAAACAAAATCCGCATTTGGTTAGCATCATCAGATATACTGCACACCAAAGAAAAACAGGGCATTTCACTTAATTCTATATGCAATTTTGAATGCATCTGACATATTATTCTATGCATGAATGTCCAATTAATACCTGTATTATAAAACTGAATTCAGCTTCCGTATCTGCCAGATTCTGTGGAACCTCTAATTCATCATTTCGTGGTCATTTGTCGTGTTTGTTTCTCACAAATGCCTGAACACACACGTGAACATTCACAAAGACCTCTTGAAAACAATGAATTCCATTCTCTTTCAAACAGGGAGCCACTACTCAAAGCCAGAAAAAACCCTGGTGCTGCAAAACACTTAATTTAAAATGATAATGAGTTGACCCAGTCACTATTCACACTGCTGCTCCTGAGTTGCTTAGCAACTACTTTGTTTTGCCGCTGTGCAGAAAAAAAAATCTGTTTGTGGAAGAAAAAAAAAACGTTTTGGGAGGACATATTTAATTCATTTTATTCAGGCATATAATTTAATCAGCGTTTCGTATACACAGTACTGTGCAAAAGTCTTGAGATGCCCCTCATTTCTTTATATTTTGCTAGAGAAATGAAAAATGCATGCAGTGATTAACTGAAACATAAATCACTTTAGTAACACAGTATATTGGGCAAACAGGACTTTTTCAGTTCTTATGAGCTTTAAAGTCAACACAATACTCTATCAGCCCATCATGGCTGAAGGCTGAAAAATGAAGTCAGTGACAGTTACTGGTTGGTCTCCAAATGACATTACATGGAGTATTCACATTTCCATCAGCTTTGACAAGACCCCCAACACCAGTGGCTGAAATGAAGGGTGGCTCAAGACTTTTGGACTGAATTTTATGACTCTGATGTTCCTGAATTAGTTCCTCTATTCAGCACCACCTGTGTCAAAGCTATCTGTATCTCTAAAGCCAAACTAAACATCATCTCATTCATTGAAACATGGGATTAACAATTGTGGGTTTACAGTTAGGTGCCTTGACCATTTGGCAGTGTTGGGCAAGTTACTTTGAAAAAGTAATTAATTATAGTTACTAGTTACTTCTTCAAAAAAGTAACTGAGTTAGTAACTGAGTTACAAGATTCTAAAAGTAATTAATTACTTGAAAAGTAACTATTGCGTTACTTTAAAAAAAACAAAATCTGTGGTCCAGGGTATAATTGGCCATTTTTGACTACTTTTGATTTTCCCTCCACATTCCACCTTTAAAAACTATTTACTGTCTTGTTTGGTATCATTGTTTTCAGCACAACCTCACGTGTCTGAATTTACAGTGATGCTTTCATTTTGACATACTGTATTAACACAATTGATCTAAAAATCACACAAAAAACATAAAATCCGAGTAGATAAAGTTATATTTTTTACTGTGACAACCACAAACACGTTTAATGAATCATATTTCATAACTTTAAATGCAAATATAAATAAAGTTCTTTGCAGCCATTTACCTTTTTTTTTTTTAAATAACCATTTCAAACTATTTACAGAACAATCAGCTGTTCTTTATTCAATAAGATGCCACACAAATTATTTGTGCCACTCCAAAAAAAAAATTTCTGTCCACTATAAAGGAGAACATCACAGCCTGATACCTGCAGGTCTGACAGCAGCAGGTGTATCACTCCTGTTTCTTCCTGGAGACAGCAGTCGCCCTCTCTTTTTTTCTGCTGTCTTTATCTCTCTCTCACCTTGTTGCTTTGTCATCTTGAAGTGGTCATGTGATTGGCTTACCACGACTACTTTATTCTTCCTCAGTCAAACAGCAGCACTCATGCGATTGTTTTGCCCCCTTAACCCCAGGTGTTGTGCCAAAAAGTGATCGTCTACCAGACAGTGATTACCGCCCGCGGGAGCGCGCAGCTGCTTAAAGCTGTAGCGCCCAGATTACTTACAGCTACTTCCGTGCAACTGATATAAGCTGCAGTAAGCTGAACACAGCTTCAACCGTCTGTTTGTTGAAAAATAGTAACGCGACGGCACCGCATTTTCTTCTTAGTAACGGTAACAGCGTTGTAACAACAGGAATAGTAATTCGTTAGATTACTCCTTACTGAAAAAAAGCAACGCCGTTAATCCCATCACTGCTCTTAGTACTGTGGTTTTTAGAGGAGTAGCAACTGTGCAGAACCACAGTTAAAGTCATTATTTTTTGGGTCTATGTGTCTCTCCATACCATGGTTCTTCTATAGGGAATGCAGAATTATTAGGCAAGTTGTATTTTTGAGGAATAATTTTATTATTGAACAACAACCATGTTCTCAATGAACCCAAAAAACTCATTAATATCAAAG